ACGCTCTTCGAGGTAGCTCAGTTCAGGCCTGGTTGTAGTTTCCCACATGTCTATTGCTGTAGGTGGGGTTTTTTGGCATAAAACTAATTTGAAAAAGCACACGATGACTCTCTTATCCTTAATGCAATATCCTTAATGCAATTTGGCAGGGATCAAAGTAGTAAAACACAGGCTGAAATTGGACCCAGACAACCAGCAGTTCAGTGCTACACCGTCTAAGTGTCTTCGGCTTCTCACACAAAAAGCTGAAAGGCAGCACGTGCGTCAGTACTTACACTCTTGATGCCTAGTCCTCGCAAAGTGATGTGTGTCTGTCTCCAGCCATGGCCACCGTTTCTTCCCCAAATGGCTGGTCCGTGAGCACCGTTTTTCCTTACGAAGACTTGGAGAGCACCAGAATGCACCTTATGCCTAAACGACAGGCACAAATCGCTGGCCTGAGCCATGCGACCCAATGGCAGGATAAGATGCGCTACTCTTCCTTCTTTGCCCTTGGGGTCGGAGATAGTCAGATACTGTCCCCCTGCAAAAGAAAACGCAGTTATGGATTTTTAAATTCTATGTTGCAGGGCCAAATGCATAAAAGTCATTTAAAAAATCAACAAATATAAAAGGGTTCCTCAAGATCCAATGAGCCTTAAATAAAGCATATAGTTGCTGGAATGTGAACCAGAACCGACGCGTCTGCCTCCTGCAGGGTAAGAGTTACGGTCCTGGTCTTCTATTTACACTGGTACCAAGTTAGGTCTTTCCTATCTAATTTCTTTCTTACAAAGCAAATAATCTATCTTTTGAAAAGGAAAAGTTTATGTATTCATTTCTGACAACCCCTTGGTGACTACATGATTTTAAGACCACAGTGAATTAAAGCTACTGTGTACATTTACCCACCTTGTAAGCTATTTTTGCTATTAGATGGATGAAAGAAAAGGCCAGCATAAATGTTATCATGTAATTGAGCTACAGTTCTGTCCCTTTTCTTTTGTTTGGGAACTGTGTGAACAGGTAAGGTCTCAAAGAGTATCCATTTGCAAACATGGATAGCCTTTTTGTTTAACCATAATTTAAACACTTAATCTGGATTAGATACAGAAAGCTAGAAATAGTCATGATTTCCAAATGACTGTTAACTTGATACTACTGTTAGAGAAGACTTCAGGGAGTGTAAGTTGTCAGTGAACATACATGCATCATTTCAAAACCCTATTATTATGTCTGATCATGTATGAAATAAAGGTGCCTTCATAAAAACACCTAGCACATGAAAAGCAGAGAAGCTTATAGGTATGGCAACATCCATTAAACCTAAAAAAACCCCAACCGGACATATATGACTCCCACACCCCCTTTCACATAGGCACTCAAAATTACAATAAATGAGACTTCGCATCTTGAAGAAAACCCACACCTGTATTTTTTCTTTGTACTTTTCATTAAAACTTTTGTGTGATAACTTTAAAATCAGAACTCACCAAAGCGTGTGTGGGAGTCACTTAAGATTTTTTTTTTATTATTATTATTATCCTTTTTATCTCACTCTGAACCTAAGAATATTTTTTTATCAGATTTTTTTAATCTTACCAAAAAAAAAAAATCCAAGTTTAATGATCTTAAGGTAAAGGTGATGTGTAAGCTCCTTAGTTGAAACTGATGATGTAGAAATACTGGGTTTGTTTTTTTTAAATATTGTTGACATACACAGTCTTTAATTATAGAATAGAACAATACATTTAAATTGTCACCCTGCTACACCTCAGCCAGCACGTTATTTTCTGAAAGTTTCTTTTTGAAAGCCACAATTATTTCCCTCAAAAGCTGTGAGATTTAATGACAATGCACCAGGGCTTGTCACGCACGTAAAAGGAAAGCCATCCTTGTCTCCAAATCACTACGTCTACGTAGTTTTGTAAGTCCCTTTGGTCTCAATGAGCTTTAACAGAGTATTATGCTGCTGTCTGGGGCCCCAGATCTGCACTTGGGCATGAAGTGGGATCCATTTGTCCAAGGATCTGTTAAAGTTTTTTTTGTTATTTGTTTGGGTTTTGTTTTTGTGGTTGTTGTGTTTTGTTGGGTGGTTTTTTTTTTTTTTAATGCATTGGTTTTGCATCAAGGTGACTGTTAAAATAAACACAACAGAGTTTAACTAACTGCACCTGTTGGTTGTAGATACAATTGTATCACTCTAAAAGTACTGACTTGACTCATTAACTGCATCTGTTTCAGATAGTTACAGTCACTGAATCCAATCAATAGGAAACAGAGGTAAGCACAAAGCCAACATATCTGTAGGCAAGCCCCTGCAGGAAAAGGTCCCCTCAGAGCAGCATTTTCTGCATGCAAGATAAGCTTATAAGGCTTCAGCATGGCACCTTTCAAAATGCACATTCTGATAAACCAATAAATAGCAAACTTTGAAAGGTGAAAGCAAACACTCAGGAACAAGCTGTGAAAATAAAACTCTGCAACAAGGTATTCCAGACAGGAGGGAGTGGGTGGGTGACTTCAAGGGACCAGTTTTAACAGGTTATGTCAACAGCAGCAGAACATACACAGGAAACAAAAAGCTGAGATTGTCCCTGACTGGGAAGCGACACAGGAGGGAAAAAAAAAGGGGGGGGGGGAAAGCCAGTTAAAAATCATAGTTCTGGAACGTAACATGTATTAACATGTATTTTGAGTATTGATAATATGCTTTGAGTGACTGACTTTCTGAGAAACAAAGCATTTTTTAAATCCATTGTTTCAAAAAGACTTTTGAATTATGTGTGATCTTTTTATCTTTTTAAAATGCCAGTCTGCAAGCAGGAGGCAGCTATGTGTTTTCTCAGGAGGAAGGAGCTCTGCTGTCTGAGTCACTCATGAAACTTTTTAAGTGTTGTCAGGAGCACATGAAACACTAGAGCATGCCTGTGGATGGGGAGGGGGCCTGCCCAGTAAGTGCAGAAACACCCTGAAAAAGGTGCCGGGTCAGCTGCTGCGGTGGCAAATGACTATCTCATCAATGGCAGCGCAAGGACAGTGAGGTGGCGCGTAAGGAAAATGGCTCTCGGTGCCCTCACCCTCCCTTAACATAACCTATAACATTTTACCGCCTGCGAATGCATTTCCTTCCCAAGTCTACCAGCCCCTCACATAATGTAAGCATTGTGCACTTCAAAGGCTGCTCCTCTGGGTATGAAGTAATCCCATCATTATGGGGAGCCAGAGACGTGTGTCTAATCTGCGGCGCTGTGGGGCAAGCGCGGCTGGGGGAAGGGTACGCAGGCGAGGACATCCAACCTCTTGGTGCCACTTACAGGAAATTCAGCAGGGGACAAAACACAACTGACTTCCAGCGTTGCAGACGCGCAGTTCTGCTGGGACCTCCCCGGGAGAGGTGTGTGAGCGGTGCCGGTGCCGGCCTCCTCCCATTCCGCAAGTGATGTGTGCATCCTGCACGCTCCGCAGTATGGTCATTGCAAGGGCACTTTTTACCATCCCAAATATACCCCGTTTCAGAAGTCTCTGCATGGAGACTGAAGGCACCTAACGTGTCTTCTTTCCAGTTACTTAACAGTTTTCCTACATACAGCTTGCTGTAAGTCAGAGTAGAATTCAATAAAATCAAACTCAGAGGTTAAACTAGAACATTGTATTTGGCAGCAGAACAAAGACTAGTTCCAGCGTGTTCTATAATTGTGCTAGTAATATGGAAATTATTGTGTTTGCATGGTGGTTTGAAAAATAAGCTTTGTCTCCCCAGAAATAAAGGTTGTTCTCTAGTCCACATTTTTGTTCTTCCTGATTCTTTTAGGACAGATGATAATCTTTTACTGACTACACTCTCCTTCAGAGACATTCCTAACCAGCTATGATAAAAGCGCAAATTCTCAATTGCTCTTTCATGTTGATTTTTTTATACACAGAAGAGGTGTGGGGGTGAAATATATCCTGGAACTAACAGGAACAGAAGCTGTGTAAATTCATCATGTCATCAACCTCAAGCCTGGGTGGTTCTTCAATTACAGGATATGATCGTAGACATGTATTTTACCTGACGTGTCGCTCACTGGTTCCCAGTGCAAGTCATCATCTTTGTCCTTGAGCCATCCGCACAGTCCACTATCAAAATTACAGCTGTGTACCAGCAGACCTAGGCAGAACAGAGCAGGTGGTCAAAAAAAGAAAAAAAAAAAAAAGTGATTTAGATTGTTTTGGTTGGGGAATTACAGCAATTTCCCTTGTGGCTGACACCAGCAAGTAAATATGAAAATTAAATGCAGTAGAAGGAGCACTAGAAAAAGAATCTACAAAAATACTAAGGGATGCTAGTGTTGATATTAACAATTTACACAATTTTTGACCTAAATCTGTTAAGAAACAAAACTATAAAGGCTCACTTCAGTGAGTGGGTTGTTTTGGGTTGGTTTTTTTGTTTTGTTTTTTTTTTCTTTTTCCAAAGCATAGTTTAAACAAGGGGCATAAGATGCAGGAGTACTGTAAAAATGTATAAAACCTCAAGAAATCTCAAAAAAAATCCTAAACCCTAGGCCCTGAACAGGAGATGTGATCTTTACCTGGATCATCGTTCGCTTCAAATTCATCAGCCGTAATCCCTCTTTCAATTTCAAGTACTTCAAACAGATTATTGCTCACTCCAGGCTGGCGTGGAACTGCGAGAAAAGTAGATTTTTTCAGAAATGAATGAGATAAAGGTAGGTAGTGACCTACTTCCTTATCTTTAATAAAAAACAGCAGAGCAGCTCTGGGCATTGTGCTTTTCCTGGGGAATTCAATATATTTAATTATATTTGACATGAAGATTCATAAACTTTATGCCTATGTGATTTATGATTTACGTTGTAACGTTTATCTGCACTCTGTAAAAGGTGATTCCAAATCTGCTAAAGGCTCTTCAAATAAAAGAGCCTTCTTCCTTTTTAACCAGGAAAAGAAAAAAAAAAGAAAACAAACAAAAAACCCCTTTAACCTTAAGGCACACTATTCCCCTCCAAATGCACTTTTTAAAGATAGTAGTTTCTCAATAAAAGAAAGCCACATTAAAGCCCTTACTCAAAGCTGCCGATCCACTCGTTTACAGGAGATGCTTACGGGAGGCTCTGAAGAGGAGGCAGCGGCACCGGGCAGAGGCCCCGCAGCCACCTCACCTTCGAAGCACAGCTGACGGTGCAGCCGTCTCTCTGCAAAGGATTAGCGCTCCCCAGACAGTTATCCAGATTGTGCCGAGAGCGGGGAAGGAGGAGCTCCAGTGGGAACTGGGAGTCAGCTGTAATTCTGCTTTTTGCTTTCTGACAAAGTCTGTCCTTCAGCTGCTGTTCTCAGCCACAAGGAGACTTAATGGGCCCAAGAGGTTATTAGACATTCAGCAGCCAGGACAACCTGAAATTTAAGAGGTCTTTGTGGGAACGATGGCCGCCACAGTCAGGTGGCTACAAAGACTTCCGCTTACTTCTGAAGACGCTGTGCCAGTCTGTGTACGTCTCCAGAAGTAACGCACCAACGTCATGCCTGATGGACAGCCGTCAACTAGAGATAAACAGACTGCACTGGACAGAGCTGTCTTGGAAATTCCTCTATTAGAGACAGGTCTAATTAATAACAGTAGGCACATGTTACAGACATGTCCTTAGATGCTACAGACACCTCTGACACCTACGGCATTTGTAAGGGCCTTGGCTATTAAAAACTTGACATGTTTTCCATTTGCAGTGCTAAAATAAGTATCTTAATGTCTCTATAGGCTTCCTAGGCAAGTAGGAACAAGCAGAACTGAGATGATTTACAATTCTAAACTGAAATAAAGGACTCCTGTTTTTCAGGAAATCAAATCAAAGGTAAGAAGGAACTTTTGCACTAGGACATGTCAATAGCATTGCTGCAAGAGCTCTTCTAAAGCCAGAAGACAGAGGAAAATGAAAAGCAAGAATGAAGGAGCTTCCTGCTTTTTGGAATTAGGACAAAATCAGAAGCCTGATAAAAGGTCAACCAAATGCTAATGTATTTTAAAAGTACTATTACAGGTGACAGATCTTGGATGGAAATTTTATATAATAAAAATAAATAAAAAGGTTGAAATCTGTAGGAAACTGATTAACTCCTTAATATTACAGTCATTTTTTGAATCATTATATCTCTTTTTTTTTTTTTTTAAATCCTTTGTAGATTTTGGATGATGTTTATTTGCAGTCTAGGATATTAACGCCCGAACAGCTTAACGGACTTTAGGTTGGCCTGGGTAGTAAAGGCCCGTTAATTTTTAAGGATACATTGTTTGTAATAATATTTTTGCTGGTTTTGTTTCATCTGGTTTTTTGCTTGCATGATTAGAATTTTGAGATTTAACATGAAAGAAACCTAACAAATGTGCACAGTCCACACCACCTACGCCAGTAATCACCCTGCAGTACATTTATGCACAAATACTATAGTCAAAATATATAAAGAAAAAAAAATAATCTGTTTACAAGCAGCAAAATAGGAATGCCCTGAAACCATCATCACCCTTAATCCCTCCCAGCAGTACACACCCTTCCTAAGAGCTCTATCTTGCATGTAGGCGGGACAGTGGAAGAAGCACATCATACCGCTATCATCACACGTGCACAGAGGTGCCTGTGATGGTACAAGCTGCTCTGACACGTAAGAGCTATACTCTTACGCTGTTCTAACTGCATTACAGCCATGGACAACCAGGAGCAGTAGCTTATGGAGTAGGTACGTGCGTTAACTGTGCACGTGTGCCCAGACCATCGCCACTGTGGGGGACACAGCAGGTAGCAGCACCATTTAAATTCAGCTGCAGTGGGATGTTAAAAACTGGTAATTCAATTTCTTGGGCTTACTGTGGCCAGCCACCTGGGACAGCAAATTTTGCCAGAGTATTTACTGACAAAGCCTGCTAAACCAACATCATCCTGTAAGCCACTCACTGTCACTTCTGGCAGGACAGCGCTCTGACTGCATTTTCGCCTCAGGTAAGCCCTCACTGTGCAGTTTCGCCTGGTGTTCCAACCACGCTGCCGCAGGCTGCTGCTCCCCGTGGAATGCAGCAGTCCCCACGTATGAGACACACCTGTGCTGCACCCCCAGGGACTATTACCTTGCCTTTCCTCTTCTCAGACTGCACTAAGGAAAAAAAAGATACTGTTCATTTTCTACGCTATGAAGAACAAGCCAGCAACTTGCTTCAAAACTGCTGAGCGCAGCGTACGCTTGTAGTGTAGCTGCTGGTCTGGGATGGACACGCAGCCTTTTCTTGAAGTGTCTTTACATCTGCCACGTGTAAGAGGCCAGCCCACGGGAGCAGATGGAAAAAGCAAGCTGCCCTCTCCCTGAGCTGCAGGACGACTCCAGCCTGTGAGGAACCTCACAGTGCCACCACCCTCGGGCCCCCACGCACTCACCAGCGACGGGATGCTCACATCCCCTTCTCATTAGGTTAACATTGAGCTTAACATTCTGCACCTCCGTATCTTCCTGTTCTCCCCTGGCACCTTAAATTAAGTTTTTTCCTAGGGACCAAAGGCTCAGACCAGAGACAGGTAGTTACAGGGCTCTGAATGAACACTGTGGCAGAGAGCACTGAGGAAACCCGCTGCTGTGCTCTAGGATTTGTGGGATACTCAGGGCTCACAGTCTCAAGGTATGTCCTTGCCCTGTGGATCCCCTTCCCAGTCCCCCATAGCTCCTGTTTATGGAAAACAGAATCACAGAATGGGTTGGGATGGAAGGAACCTTAAAGATCATCTAGTTCCAACCCCCCTGCCCCCTCCACTAGAAGAGGTTGCTCAAAGCCCCATCCAACCTGGCCTTGAACACTTCCAGGGATGTGTTCAATACTGCAGGAAATATTAGGAATTTATTTTCCTAACTACTTCAGTTTACTTACTAAAACACCATTTCTAATGCTCTATTTTATACAAATGTGAGTTACATCTGTGCATACATACAAGCATTCTCCAAATTAAAGTTGACATATTTGCCTGTAATTAAAGCTCTATGATAAAATGTTTCTTCAAAACTTTTCTCTAAACACTGTTATTATGAACTTCTAAAAGAACGTGTGGCAGAGCTTTAAACCAGTCACTTCAGTGCTCAGACCTAATTGGAGGAATGCACACTCGGTATGAAGCAAGAGATGCAGGACTAAATATGATCCATGTGGACACTTCATTTTGCTACAATGACTAATATGTCGAGTGGCGATCGTGGGAGAAAGTATTTGGCACAATTATTTTTGCAAGCTTTCCAAGCCCTTTCTGTGTACTTTATATAGCGTATCAGTGTGATTTTCACTTAACTTCAATGGTTTGATAAAACTTGTTAAATATAAACTTGGCTTCTTTTTCTTGGAGAATTTAAGCTCTGAGTGAGCCAATACATCAACAGTACCATATTCTCAAAGTTCATGAGCTAAATTCTTCATAGATGTATGAATTTGTGTGTGGGGAACATTTAATAACTGCATAAGACTGATTTCTTTTCAGTTTTTTAATCCTTCGGAAAAACAGTAGGACTTCTTCATTTACTCGCTAATTGCTGAGTTTGGGAGTATAAGGGATAAGTATATCTGAGAGAGTAAGAGCTGGTGTGTACATATATCAGGTTATTTGTAATTATAGAATAATCACTGTTTTGGTGTTACAAAACCAAAACAAAACATGGAGTGCAGCCTCATGTTATTAGTAATTATTTTTACTATTAACAATGTAATGTTCTGCCTTACGACACTGTGTTCTTATGCAATTCCATTCCACACAATAACCCTGACCAAACTTCCCATTTGTTAAAAACAGCAGCAAAAAAAGTCAAAGATTTTTTGACTGAATAGTTATGATTGAAAGTTGTTAAATTCCACTTCTAAAAAATCCCCACCAGTGGTGGGATTTCATGCAGAACTAGTAGAAAACAGCTAAGAGGAAGGGTAGCTCAGAGGTCAATCAGACTTCATAAAGAAGAATATGTCCTGTGTTCTGCCAGGGAAGACTTGATATACACTGGTCTAAAAAGAAGGGGCAATAGAAAGGTACACTTCACCCTTTTATGTGGATACTCATAGTGTCCAGGATGTGTTGCCTAAAACTCTGCAGATTCAAATTCTGCAGTGAGAATTATTTCAGAAAGGGCTTTCACGGACTGTCCCACCCTCTTCAGTACCATTTGCGTAAAAGCAGAGAGATGGTGCTGGTGCGCGACTGCTCTAAAGGCCAATCTTGCATTTCTCAGGCAGTTGCAGGGTTCATTAACTGTGACCAAAATCAAGTATCTTACTATATATATATTTCTAGAAGATTTTCTGACATGTAACCTGCCTGCCTTTCTGTGAGCCGCTACTCAGGAGGTGCAGAGTGCTAAGACAGTTGCAGGGAAACACAGCTAAAATAAATAGTGTGCGGAAGCTTGCATATCAGATCTGGGGGAAAAATTAGCTGGAAGATTGATGGAGGGTGTGATTTGTAAGACTCCTAGATCTTAGGATTTAGCTCCAGAGTACAAACAGGAACAAAATGCCTATCTTAAATGCTTACACATTAAGACAAATACATTTTAATAGGTGCCGGAAGAGTAAAGACAAATTAAATGCTATTGTAAAATGATACTACTCTAATGATACCAAGGAATTAAAACCCCCCACATTCTTTGCTTTTAGCATTTCCCTTTTTTCAACAGTTTCAAGGATCACATAACTGCATTTACTGCACTAAGGACTTTGCAGTCATTGAAAGGGGGAGCAGAAAGAATCAAGTTTTAATCCAATCCTTAAATTTTTTTAATAGCTGTTATGAGAAAAGTCTCCTAATTCCAATCTCTTCAGGTCCTACTAACTATGGGCTAAGAAGGAAAATTGCTGAACTATCTTTTAATACAGGTAAGATGTTTTGTTCTTGCTCCGCTGATACCTAGTATTATGCTTTAAGCTTAGGCATTTAATGCTTATCACCCAGATCCCAATGGTAGCAGAAATTCATAGTCTTATTGAGAAGTTCATTCTGTTTGTTAGAGACTTTATCCATCTGAGTAACCTGAGAAGATTCCTCTGCACTTCACTGTAGTTTGTATCAGTCCTGAAATAGTTAAATATTAAGCCCTCGCTGCATTCCTCCCTCGTTGCCATTCCCCCCCATATCCATATCAGGAGAAGATTATCCTTGGTGCCAGATTCCACTGTCTGCATCTGACTAAGTGGTTCAAAGGCCAAGTGTAGGAATTCCATTTTAAAAAATACTCATTTTTTTGGTCTCTGAAAAAGCAGCTCCCCAAAGTCACTGCAGGCTCTTTTAGAAAAGGCGTAAAGCATCTAAAAAAAATGTGACAACCCAACACCTTTCAAAACCACAAAGGCACTTAAATAACATTATTAGCATTATTATCATTTGTGCTCTGTCACCACTGAGCAGACCAATTTCACTGGTCCTCAGCTGATTTCAAGCTGAGCGGCACGTTCAAGAGTGCTCTGAAGTGAAAGCTGAGGACAAGTTTACTCAGCCTGTGGGACGGCAGGTCAAAGAACAATTAAGGGAGAAAACAGGGAGCAACGAGTCACCAAGAGTAAGCTCAGGAAAAGGTTAAATAATGAAAAATTACAATTTGAGAGGTGCCTGCAGAAAACAAGTACACTTGCCCAGGCACATTTCCTCTCCTGACTTGGATCAATCCTAGATCACCAGTATGTTTGCAGGATTTGGTCTGGTGCACCAGGACATCTGTTAGTGCACAGCGCACCAACTACCTCTTTGCCATGGATTGCCTAACAGAAGTACCACCTGTTCAGATGGCTAAGCAAAGCAGCGTTTACTGACATACTACTTTGTCAAAGTCTGGCTTAGGCTTCAGAGTCTGAGGGGAAAAAAATAAAAGGAAAAAGCCCATGCATCACAGGATAACCTAGTTTGAAAACACAACTTTAAATATTGAGGTCTTCAGCAGACACTAAGGGCTGGAAGATCAGAATTGTTGCTGGCTACAGTGCTCTGTGCTGGGTTTTGCCCATCCTTGTGTGATAACACACTACCTTTTCTGACTCTTTGGGACAAAACAGCCCTTTGCGACACATGAGGAAACAGCCACCTAAGAAGACACCGTAACTCTTCTGAAGACCTTGCAAAACTGAAGTTAAATCCTACTTCATGATTTGAGTGGATCTAACATCAATTTCCTCCTCTGTTTTCCAAGATGAGTGTTACAACATGACTGAATTGCTGCCTGCATTCTCCTGCGGGAAACAAATCAAGGTGGCAAGAGGGAGGGTTTCTCTTCTCAGGCAGGCATATCGGGACCAGAGTGCAAATTCATTTTTGAGAATTAGTTTCTTTGCTGCCTTAACTGGGGAAGCAAATGATGCAGGGAAATGAACCTAAAGAGGCTCCATATAAGCTAAAGGAAATTAGCTTGTATTCACAACCCAGGAACACTGCAAAGGTGTCTGATGTAGGTGAGATTGAAACAGCAACCGCGTTTTAAAGAAGCTGAAGGAATTAGCTGAAAAAGCCCCTTCGCTGAGGAAACAGAAAGGTGAAAAATCCATAAACATTTTTGGAGTTGGAGAGGGTTTGGCACATCCACATGGCAGATACGCAGCACGTCAGAGGTCAGCTAAATGTTACTAGTTATTTCAGTTTAAAATTCTGTATTATCTTAACATCATGGTTGTTAACATTGTGCTTGGCTGTAAGGAATGTTTTTTGAGAGGCCCTGGCTTGCACTTGGCGGAAGCCCTGCCATCCTGAGCTTGTGGTGCCTCTTGCAGAGCAGTTGCAGGCTAACAGCGCCAGGCACTGCTCTGCCACGGGCCTGTAGCAGGGGCAGGGTTGGCCACCAGCAACACGAAGCTTCCCCCACCCGGCAAACGCCATCTGTAAGCTAACACGAAAGGCGCTGGAGCTAACGCGCTTTACCTCGCGTTTGCCACTGGCTGAGGGCGTGCAGGCTAGCCCGGCAGCTAATGCACCTGGCAATAACGCTCCAATGTTGCTAAACCGCTGGTGTGAGGACATTTGGCAAGGCGTGAGTATCTCTGTATGATCCTTAGAAGTGCAGCTGAGGACAGGCTGAGTCCTCACATCCCATTGTAGTAATGTATGTGGCTACAACTTTTCTACCTGGTTTTCTAGATGTCCCGCATCATGAAATATAACTTTTCCCCTACCCCACAAACTCCTGCAGTAACAGGATTCAACAGGTAACACCTTTCTCTACAAGCAATGCTTTCCTTGACAAGGTAGCACATTCTTCTGGAACAGAACTGTTTTGCACCCAACTGTATGTTTCAAATCCTAAACAAATGCTTTCGTGCACTAAAGAAATGCCTCTGGACAGAGAGAAGGTGGGAGGGGACACCAGTGACCCCTACCTAGACGGCTAGAAGAGAGAAAAAAAAAAAAAGGAGAGAAAAAGAGAGAAAAGAGAGAGGAGAAAAGACACCAGCTTCATAAAGGATCACACCATGCAAATTCCTGCCATCCAGAGCACAGGTGGAGTATGCCTTCAGTTACACAGTTATGTCATACACATATGTATATGAAGTATATCTTTAGCAGGGGATAGAAGAAATTAAAGGATTAAAGGATTAAAGACACATATGTATTGACTTGATTGGAGGAGCCATCTGTCCCTGTATTACCTACTGAGGCCAGTAACAGTTGCTGGTGCTTGACTTATTGGAATCCTGCTGTATTGTGCACTGAGGCCTTTGAAGCTACTTATGTATATCACGAACCTCAAAGGGTGGCAGCTGACCTAAATAAATAGTTGATAAACACTTTGCAAAGATAATTTTTTCCTGTGGTTGTTATATGTACCATAACGTAAGCTTACACAAACTTAAAACGCTTTTACTTTCCTACTTTCCAAACCCCTATATCTGAAGCATACATATTGAAAGTATTAGCTTCAAAATTTAGCCTCTAGGGAGAACATAGAAAGACTAATTGTAAATAATAAGCTTTATACAGATGATTGTTATGACATCATGAAAATAGCTGAAAACTATCTCCCTGCTTTAGAATTCCAGAGACCACTTGCAACACGAGACACTGGGAAGTGAATGCTAGAGTCTAGAACAATTTCCACAGAACTTTGTATTTTTAACTATCGGTTCCCATTATATTAAGTTTTGGAAGTCTTTACTATATTTCCTTTTAGAATTTTACATAAAAATGTTCTTATATTTTCAACTGAATATAGATTGTTTGAAAAATAACCTTGAAAAAGTCAAAAGCACACTCCTTTGAGTGGTACTAGGATTTATCTTCCCAAATGTTAAGTCAGCTTTTGACTCCATTTTAAATTTATCAAACTGTCTAAAACAGATAAAATGTCAAGAGGGAAAACAAACCATTTTTTACAAGGAACAAAATATTTCACTGTGTAATGATCTAAGAGAACATAGTCCAAGAAATTACCACACAGATGCCAAAGCAACCGGAAAAAAACTCCCACGTTGCTTGTACACCTGCTGTGAGACAGCAAACTTTTCCTCCTACTACATTGCTTCAGCAGCTTTATTGTACATCAAGCTGAAGGAGAAGGGCTGATCCAGCACACCCTCCCCGTCTCTAAAATTAGCAGCTGAACTAAAGATGAAATCGGGTGTTGAGTATTTCTTGGCAGATACATGTAACTCTGCATGTGCCAGTAATGTCTTCTGTGGTATGCACTAAAGCTGGTGTAGAAACAGTGAGGTAGATTTCAGAGAAGCTCTTAAAATGTGACCTGTCTTCATGCTATGAGAATCTACTATCTTCAGCTTTTCATGTATCCATTTTCATAGATACAGTCCATTAAATTAGCTTCTATGTTATTGTTATGCAATTTTCCCACTGCTTAGTCATAAACATCCAAGACTATTTGAATTCATACAACACAGGTGACAGAACAGTCTTTAGGTAATCAGACACGGTTCCATTTCTTACCATTCTTAAAGCTACGGCAACCCCCTGAATTTGAATCTGTTGACCATTTATGAGTTACGTTGCATTTCAATACTTTTCAAGAAAACGTCTTTCATTTCTCCAAAACTCTCATCTGAAAGCATCATTAGGTTAAACACTTTTACAGGACCATATACTCACAAGTAATTTCAGAAAGAAAAAAAGAAAAAAAAAGAAATTTTTGGTTGAATTGACAAAGAACTTCCTCCCCACATTTTTGTTAGGTAATAAAATCAATTATTTGTGCAGCTTTACCATATGACCATTTTCATCTTCATGTCTTTGTTCTCGTTGATAAAGTATTCCAAAAAAACCCCAAGCAGTACAGTGCACGCTTTCACCTCACTGCATATACAATTCAGATAAATTAAAGGATATGTAAAATTACTTACTGAACACATCTCCTCGGGGTTTCTGAGGATCTAGCTGAATCCTGTTGTCATCTGTAATTCCTTGGGAAGAGGTAGTTTCAATGGGAACGTGTGAAGGCTCTTCAGTTGTTGTCATCGGAGTTCTTTGTGGTGGTAGCGTAGGTCTTAACATTGTAGGCTGAGGTGGTGTTGGAGGTGGAGGTCTCGTCACTGGCTTCGTTACTGGCCTTGTTGTCACCAGCACATACCTAGTGGTTGGCTTTGGTGTTAGTCGAGTTGTTGGCCCCGGTGTAGGATGAGTTGTTGGCCTGGGTGTAGGTCGAGTCGTTGGCCTGGTCACTGGCCTTTCTGTAACAATAGCAGGTACATATGGTGGTCTGAGGGATTGCCTTGTGCCTCCAACATCAGGAATCCTATTGGTTATACCACTGTCTCCCCTAGGGAGTGTGCTGTTGCCCTTGAATACATGATATGGACCAGGTGGTTCAATCATAACATTAGGAATAACTGCAAAGAGAATCAAAATGGGACCAAAGTGGACATCTTAGTCTTTCGCTCCAGAAACTTAATGTATTTTGTATTGACACAGAGTCTTTGCTGAAATAATTTCCACTAATTAGAAACATACTTTAGCATCAGCACTGCTGAATTATCACACCCCTTTGGAGAGTACTTCTCATTACAGCAGTTTAGAGATGATTTAGAATGACTGAAGGCCAAGAGACTTTCATCCCCAGCTCCCAAGCATCAACTCTCTTTTGGAGTTGGCAAAACTTACCCAAAAGCAGTGTTAGTAAAAAAGCATGGACAGGAAGATGTGTGTTAAGCAGCCCTCCAAACTGGACAAGCTTGTACTGAGGAGCAGAAGCAAGTTTAGTTGGACTCCAATGTTGGTCACGGATGGGCAGATACCTTTAGCTTAAGATCTTTCAGACCTCTCCACTTCTAAACTTTTCTCCTTGTCAATAAGCATTAATCATTTTACAGAGATTGAACTTAAGCCAATAGCCTTCATTGATATCTTTACCTTTCCTAAACACTAGTAAACAGCATTTTTTCAGCCTCCTCAAAAAGGAGAAGGTGAACTGAGCATCACCTACACCACAGTGACTGTGACTACAGTACCATCTCCCCCAGCGTTTCATTAAGAAAGGACAACAAATTTTAACTTGGTTTCACAAGGGGAGTTTCTGGAGACCTGAAACGCAAGAACATCTGTTTTGTTATTTATAACTGTCTGTTTGTTAATAAGCCTTTTATATCTCACTGGAGATCTTAAAAAAGATAAGAACTCTAGTCAGATATTTTGTGTACAAGTGTTTCAAGTATAATACACAGTTTAAAATGAAGAACTACTGTTTGTTAAACAAGGAACTGTTTGATGATAGCAGGTAAAAAGGTTTCTCTCTGGCCACCTGTTTATTACTATTCTTTTGAATACCCTGTGGTTTTTATGTTATGGTATATTAAAATATAAAATGCACCGTAGGACTATGTCCCAGCAACACGTGTGAAGCCTCTCCACACTGAGCCTGTGAGAGATCACCTTAGCCAAATCCCATTACCATGACAGCTACAGCCAAAGGAAACAAGTCCGCAATGGTACTGCTCTTTAAAGGGATCAGCGAGTCACCACAGACCGGAACCCACGTGTGAACACAGGGTCCTCAGAAAGATTCAGCAGATGTCATAGAGCTGCACAGTCCTGAGGGACGTCAAATGCGGGGGAGCTCCCATGGCCTATTCTGTACCAAGGGGGGCGGCTGCTTCTCCCAAGAGAAAGGTGAGGAAAGGAATTCTCCAACAGGGAATTGTTCCAGAGAAATCCTCCCTCTCGGCTCTGCTCGCATGTGGGGAGCAGTGGATGGGGTGAGCTGCTGAAATGGGCCAGTGGCAGAATGTACATAACCACGGGGTATGAGTAATATGTACTGTTTGACCAGACCTACCCTGCTTACTCAGTTGTTCTCATCCTGTAACAATCTCTAGAATCAAGCTGTGAATAGGGAGACGTGAATTTCTTTCTAATTATGAAAATATCTCAGGGAAAGGTATTTTTACCAAGGCATGCTAAGACTCAGAAAACTCTGACTACATTCCCTGGCCCCTTATTAAGTATTAAAAATAGTTACAAGAAACTGATCCTGATAGTGCTGTATCTCAAAATTTACAATGTGGGACACATTTATTTTGGGAATTCCTTTTCTAAAAGGAGCATTACGTACGTATGCAGTTTGTTCCATTGTCTCTGTACCCTTCTTTACACTTGCATTTGTAGGATCCTGGTGTATTGTAACATCGGGAAAAACTACCACACTGATGGTGGCCAAGGGAACATTCATCTATATCTGCAACAGAAAGTTACAGAAAAAAATTCATTTACATCAAAAGAAACTTGACTTTCTGCTTATCCCTGCAAAACCACAAACAGTAGTATGGTCATTAGAAAAATATTATTAACTTTGAAAAATTTAATAAAACAGAATTGCCAGTGGGAAAAGGAATATAGTCACAAATCAACGTGGTGATACAAACGTGAGGGTAAAAGGGACTATTGTGCAACTCTGGTATTGCTCAGTTTATACCTTAAGATCAGCATCAATGATTTGCTGTGGGTAGGTTGCAGTTGAGATCATGAAGATTACAATTTTAATAACCACTGCTTAAAGGTGACATGGTAAGAAAAGAAAAACCGAGTGTTGGAATATGCATGCTCTTAATCACACAGGTATTAAACAGTTTTTTTCATAAAACGCTGCCTCTATTATATGTAAGTACAGATGTTTTGACATCAAGCAGAAACTGCTTGAAACATATGGCATTTCCACGTTTGTTGTTAGTGATGCAAGCAAAAATCTCCAAATTTCAGTGCTCTGCATAGAGATCTCTCTCCAAAATATGTACTTAAACCTAAAGCAATGCCTCATTATCTCCACAAGATCCTTTTTTCAGCAAAATGATCATAACCAGTTGAGGCCCTCAGAAACCAAGACAGTGAGACCTGGGAACATCTTTGTTGAAGGGCACACACCAGCTGCATTCCAGTCTCGTGTCCAGACAAAGACAAGTTATTTCCCAACCCTCGCCCTTTCCCCACCTGTCTTCAGGGGAAGGAAAGTTGGGCAGCCTGGGTTAGAAGGAGCTAGGCTGTGCTCTAGCCACATTTTCTTATCTCAGATCTTGGGGCATGCTATGGAGCACGCCTGTATTACAGCTCAGACATATCCTAAGCTCATGCGCTACTCCAAACCTACAATTGCCTGGGCACGGTGAAACCTGTGGGGACAAAGGCTTTGGAAAGGGATTCCTGGGGTCATGAGCTCTGCTCTCCCACTAGCTTCCTCAAGAGAACCAGTTACAAGAATGGGGGCCAAATGGATGCTTTCTTATTCACAGTCTATTTCTATAATCCACCCTTTCCTAAAATACAGATGCAGTGCAACCTAAAACAACCTGCTTCAACATTTCAGCCATAATAATCAAACATTCCTCTTTAAACCATTAATTTCAGTTTAGAATATACAGGTCTATTACATGCACATAAGTAGTAAGTTGTTATTACCATGGCATTGGTATTTGCCTCCAATGTACATTAGATCAAAACCTTTATGACACCTGCAAACGTAGCTTCCAAAAGTATTTACGCAGTGCCTAAATCGCGGACAGATAACTCTCCCAGCAGCACATTCATCAATATCTGTGGAAACAAAGGGACTGTATTACTCTGAATAGCAGTTAAAATATAATCTATACCATCTAACTTAAACTGGTTTCACATAATGAAAAACTAAGAAAGAATAGCCAAAGTATTTTTAACAGGGTCATTCTGGCTACAAGTTGGTCAGCCCGCAGTAATACCTGAGCACTTCTTCTGGCTGTGCCATCTCAGTTCAGCTCTTGGTCACATGCCCAAATTTTTATGCCTCCTGTGCCATAAGCCTTTACAACTCCTGTGAGTGACAAGAGATGCACTGGCATAATGAGCGTTGCTATTGAACGTGGAATGCTTGCTCTATGTCTCTGCCATCCTAGTACCCTTCCCCTTGAAGAGGAGAAGTTTTCTAATTCCCCACAGAACACATGACAGCTTCTTCAAGGCCTCAAAACACTTATCCTTAAAACTGTAATGGTATTTGTCTGAAGAAAAACTATTTTGTGTTATTTGTATAATTTGTGGTTTTCCCACCAAGCCCTGCCTGGTTATAAAGACAGCACCTGGATTTACAGGCAAGGAATAGTAATAAAAACTACCCCAGTAATTCTTTTTCTGAAACATGCCTGAAATATTGTTCCTGTAGCACAGGTCATACGTGCGTATTCAAAGTACATCATACTGCAGTAGGAAGTGGTTTGGTTTTTTAAAATCTCAGGCATCCCTAATCCATGACCTGCCCATTGAGCCTATCAGGCAATCTTTGTCTGTTCAGGACTTGCTCTAAACAAAGAGAGCTCAAGCTAATGCCAGGGGTGCAGTATTTCTGAGTCTCCTACCAGTTAGTTACCACAGGTAATGCTTTTTGGGTACCTGCTCTTTGCAACCTCTTACCCTGCACAGTGCCTGCACTGTAGCTGACCCCTCTTTCACAGAGAAGTTGGTTACCTAACTGACCTTAAAATCTCTCTGAGGTGCTGAGATACATGGCTCCCATTTGCCCTGTCAGGAGCTCGCAGCAGGACCTGAAGCAGTGCTTCAGTAAGCAGCGTCCAGGCAAGGACAGAGGAGTGGGAAGACATGGGTGATGCTCAGTAAATGTCTGATGCTCCTCATCTTCCAGAAGATCCTGTTCTTCACGCTGACTAACAAGCCAGGCAGAGGCCCAGGCAGAGGCTCAACCAGTGCTGCTTTCACTGCCTCGGAAACTCTCAGAAGAGGTCAGGCTGATACATAAAAGCCGCTTGATCTACCACTCACTTTGTAGCCCTTGTAAACCGAGCTGAAGTCTGCTGAGTGCTTGAACCCTAATTCTTCACTGAGGTAGCAACCTGCCACGCACGGCTGCCTCTTGACGCACGCCGCTCATGATGTTTGCTGGTTATCTGCAGGGCACAGTTCAAGCCTTTGCTCTGCGGCTCTATCAGGCTCTTGATCTACAGGAAAGCAAGATTTTGCTCTCCACACAATTCTTTTCCCAAAAGGAGCACTTCAGCTGCAGGTGTCAAGAGTGCAAAACAAAGCCAAGTGATTGATGCCCTGGTGCTTGTGAAAGAGGCCTGAACAAGGCAGAGAGAAGCCTGAGTCTCTTGCACAGCACAGAAAAAAAAAAAATTACCACAAAACTGCTAGTTAGTTAGAGCAGCTACCTGAGGCAGGGGAGATGTAGCTTTGAATTCTCCAAGCTATGTTTCCCACAGCCAAAAGAAGTGACCTAAAGCCATGAATTACTGGCTGGATGGGCTCTCCCAGTAGCTCCTGCTGGCACTGTCCCACTCTGCATGTGAAGAATCACTGAGGACAGCAAGGATTCAGCCCCTGAACTCCCACACTCCTGGCCCGTCAGACCGCTCCAGAACACCAGCTCTCCTTTACTCTCAGATGGGAGCACTTCTACAATGCCATGGTAAAGGCCTGAATGAGAAAGAAAATGAGGCCAATACAGGGCACCCCTCCACGTGCCTGAATCTCCCTATAAATCTGCCTCTTGGTTTGAATCTATTATTAATGTTTTAGGCTTCGAGTACATTAACAGTTTTACAAATTCTACTGTGTTCACAAATGACTGTGTTCAAATTCTACAGTCATTTAATTTACAAGCCACAATTTTCTGCTCTTTATTAAAACACTATTTCAAGGCTGCATATTTCAGACTCTTGATTACTATAAGTTAGTTTTGGTTTTGTTTTTTATTTTTAAACCTCAACTTAAAAAAGTAATTCAGTAAGAAAAAGATTAGCCACTGAATATACCTCATCGTGGCATGGATTATGTTCTTTAAAACCTAATGTAGCTTGTCCTGCCTTTCCTTCTGTCCATGTTTTTGCAAATTCCCATAAGGCAAGAAGTATGTTAGATGATGACAGCACTGTAGTGGTATTGTTTAGTTTTCTAGGCAGTTATACATCCTAAAGATACAGGACTGAACTGCTAATCAACACACCGTTGAAGACTGACACAAAAATAATTGAAAAAAACTAACAGTCTATGACTTGCGTTTAACATGAGAGGTGGGTGGATGGTCATTACTGGTAGGAAAACCACTTTTTGATCATTAGCTAGAAGATGGTATGCAAGTGCTTACAATTGTTCAGTTTCCTGCAGTTCTGAAATAGTACAGTGACTGTGGCTTCTTTCTAGTCCATGGACCCATGCTGATTCACTCCTGTGCCCAAATGGTGTAAGGCTGTTTCCCTGTGCCTGCTGCAACACGCTGCGGCTCATGCCTACTTCCTCTGAAAACCAGGGCAGGAAGGGGCGATCTGTATTCTGATCTCAGCCCGGTCTGCAATGAAGGTGCATGCCCAGACTTAGCGCCAGGGAGCTGCTCCAAAGGCACATGAAAAGCAAAATGCACCTAAATGAGTTGGATGGCCAGTGTTCAACAGAGAAGCAGAATTACACAGTCGTGCTTCTCTCTTGCTTGAGTGTGACCATATTACCAACTGAAGCACTAAAACAACTATGAGATTGATTTAAAAATAGTACGATTTTTAAGTTTACACAGCCATATTTTCAAGTTTCTCTACACTAAACAACTAGAAATAATTTATTTTACATTGAAAATAATTTGTTTCAGTCCTCAGACAATCTCAGACCTTCTGAAGCTGAAATGTGTATACTGCTAATTTCATTAAATGAAAATCCCAATCCAAAAAGCTAGCAACACTGATTGACGTATTGATTCAAGAGTGATTAATCAATCAGTCAATCCATATTTTCACTGAAGACTTTACTGAATTCTTTTTCAATAAATTTATAATATTAAATAATACTGATTATTATTTAATTTATATGATTTACCTTCATAACTGAATTGTTTGGTGGCTCTTTACTGATTGTCTGGAAGGAACATTTTAACAAGAGAATGATCATCATGGGTTAAATTAAGAATAAAATAATGCCTAGAGGAATTTCCACCTGTGCTAAAAATAAGCCTCACATTCCCAGCTGTCTTTCGAACTCTCCTCAAACAAGGATTTCATGAGCTGCAGCCAATGCACACTTCAATTTTCTTAGCATCATCTACACTTCTATTTGTACTGCAGCAATATCTAGACCCTCACTGGAGCTGACAACCTCCGCAGCAGCGATGGGGATGTACGCATATGAGGAAACGCACAGTCCTACTCCCAAATCACTTCAATTCTTGGAGGTATTTACTACAACTCAAACATGATCGAGAAATAACACAAAAAGGTGTATGTCACAATCACTTCTTCCCAAAAAAGGGGAGTACGTCATGTTACGACCCATGAAGAACAGACATCTCTTGCTGTGGCTACTTTCTCTGTATTGTACAAGGCTGCTCAGAAATTTTTGTGGAAGATTTTAAAAATAGGTTATGAGATCAATCTGAATGATGCACATCAACTGAAATGTGGGTACACAGTTCTTCACCTTTCTGGGGAAAAACAAATGGTTTTTTGAAAACTACACTGAAGAACTGAAAGACCTTCACATAATTGGTTTGAGTGCTAGTCTTCGGCATTAAAAGTGTGCTTTGATTATTTCAAAGTATGACATTTGCCTGAATATAAAAATGCACACTAGGAGAATCTTGCAAGTATTTTTCTAGCACATTTCTGTACTCGGTATAACTTCCTGGAATGTGTACTTAAAAATCCCTTAGCTCACTATGGTATGGCACAAGTCTCTTCCAAAGATCTCTGTCTGCCATAATGTCCGCAAGTGTGATTAATCACAATTCAATCCCTTCAGCATGTAACAATGGTAGAATTTTTCTCCTGTTCTACCCATTCTTTCCCATACATAGATGTGCCAATCATGCACCTCAGAAAGCCTCCAACTTAGAGCTGAGCCTGCTCCTCACATCAGATGATCTAGAATCTGTCCCTTGCTCTGCCAACAAATTCTTGGTCAGCATGGGTCAGCCACTTGGAGAACCAGCCCCTGTGGACAGCCATGATACCCAAATGGATGATGAGGGCATCCATGTTCTCTTACATTCTTTCAGTGCAAGTGTTGTTACTGGTTATGGAACTGTAGCACTGCATAGGATATAAATAATAAAATCACTGGAGCATCATAGCCACTCAAGATGTATAGTTAATGACTAATGAAATCACATGTCACACTGTTCTTCAGACCATAGTAGACTGTGGCACAATACAGTCTGATTAATCATAAGCACCTTTTCCATGTTCACAAATGTGGGAATGAAGTATTTCACTTTCACACAGTCTGAATTCCTGAGTTTATTTTAACCTGGAGTTTTCACAGCATGAAAGACAGACAGTAGCTTCAATCCCATTAATACTGGGAGTATGAACTTTGTCCCAGTATAATCTCAATGATTTGCACAAATTATCCCTCTACCCCCTGAGCCTAAGCACCACCTTATTGGGTATGAGGGAGAGCTGACCTCCCCATTCCTGGTTTTTATGCAGGCAGGTATTTTGAATTCTCTGTTAGCAATAGTTTAAAATGATCCAGTAACAGGAGTAGTAAGGGCCAAGGGCTTGGATACAGCGGCCCATGTGGGCTTTAAGCAGTCAGTGAAACCTGCAGGACTGGAGGAAAACATTGTCGATCTCTGACACAGACCATCTGAGAGCACCTGAGCAACATGCCTATCCCAATTCTCATCAGTAATGTCTTTAAACTGCAAGTATGATGCATTCTAAATACATCTGATAAACTCTCTTGAACTGCATTCGGTGTAAGGATAAAAACATTTTGGAGGAAAAAAAAAAATCAAATCTACAGTTGATCACCTACCTATGCAAGTCCTGCCATCAGCCCCTAGCTGCAGTCCTGGAGAAGGACAGCGGCAGCGCACTTCCCCTTTCAGTACATCACAGCCATACTGACAGTTTGCCATCGAGCAAGAAAGTGCATCTAGGGAAAAAATAATTGAACATATTTAGAGAAGGACTCTGATCAGTATCAGAAAATGACTAAAAACTTTGGAGAATTAAGACATTGTATAATTATGACAGAAGTGGAAAAATCCTTGTTGAACTTGACAGGTATCCATTCAGACTTTAAAGAGCAAATGTATATGCAGTAATTTTTTTTTCTTTCTACAAATGGCATGTCTAAGAAAAAAGAGAGAGAAAAAAAGAAAACCACCACAATTGTAGCAAGTTATGTCATGGAATGCAGCCCCCATGAGGAGTATAAAGCCCTGTATGTACCATAAACCCTCCTGGACATTACTGTCACTTTAAAATAGGAGCATCTCTAATTAAAGGTAATTTCTCTCTCCTTCTCTGTGTCCAGACACTCAAAATATCCACTTTTATGGGAGCAAGTAGGAACCTGATCTCCAGAGAGATGACTGTACAATTTTATACCAGTCAAACAACCAACATCTGCAGCTTTAATGATTTTACATTCATAAGGACATAATACAGCAGAACTGCAGGTGTCTTGCTGCAGTGAAAACTGCAAGCACTTGTCCTTGAAGGCCAATTAACAGTGATTTACAGCACTGAAGAATGCTTCTGGGGAAACTTGTAATAAAACTAATAAAATCAAAATATTTGTTCTTGTTTTGTTCAGCCTAATTTCATTAGAAAAAAAGAAGCTCATCTTGTGCAACTGCCTGATTTCCAGCACGATTAATCTTTTATTTTGGGACTCATCTTAATTTCATACAAGTTTCCAAAGAAAACCCAAGCAGGGATCTTGAGGAGCTTGAAAAAAGCAAGCAACAAGCCTTGCCGTACTCGAGCACGTTCCATCTGGCATAAGCATGTAGCCATTCAGACAGTAGCACTTGTAGCTGCCGTAGGTATTCATACACCGGTGTTTGCACGGCCGCGGCTTTAGTCCACACTCATTTAGATCTGAAATGAAGGGTACAAGGGAAGGGGGTGGGAAAAGAAAACATACAAAGTATGTATGAAAAAAACACTAGTTCGAGTTCCTGGAGAAAGAAGGAAAAATACAGCAATGAGCTTTTTATACGCAGTCCAGCTGACAGCAAGTGTCCAGAACATCCTGCATGAAGCGCTGTTCACCCATCCTGCCAAGTGGTGTATTTTCTTGTTTCACAGATATCCTTCCAGAAATGACAGTATTAGCATTAGATTAAGTGCCAACAGAAGTTTCATTAGGAAATGCACAAGCTCAGGCTGCCCACATCTTGCCATGATTCACCTCAATGCCATGTCCAGGACCAGCCAGAACTCTGGAGCAGGGAGAAAGTAAATGTCTCTGCTGCAATCACTATCAGTGATTCTGATAGCGATTCAGTGATTCGCTATCATGCTTCAAAATTAGTCGCAGAGGAAGGTAGGAAAGCTGATGCTAACCTACTTCAAACAATCTCACAGAGAAAATGCATGCCTTACTGTCTAGAAAATACTGGGGGAAAAAAAAAATCTGACATCAGTGATATTTGTCAAGGACTATCCCTGAAGGCTAGTATTTCAGATTTGCAATTTAATACAGAATTCATGACTTAAACTGAAAATATTCAGCCTACAATTTTCATATTAGTAGACAAGGCTTCTAACAAGAAGTAAAGATTGAGTGAGCATTTTCTTCAGAATTCTCTTCCAAGAATATGTGTTGGTTTTATCTGGGTAAACCAGAATAATTTTTTACTTAGTTATTTGTGTACTGCTGAGTCAAGATGACAATAAAGGTGAAAATAATAAATTTTTTCATAAATCCAGCCAGCAAGTACTTGAACAACTGAGTTACCGACCCTCATCTCTAATACTGCACAATGCTGTCTGGAGGTCTGTTCCAGTAAGAGAGTCACTGTTATTTCTGGGAACTTTTCAAAGAGCCATCTCCACTGTTAAGCACATTCTCATCAAAAGTCACTCCCTAATTCCCATAGCAGAAAGGTAAGCCATGGGGCTCCTACCGTGTGGCAGACACACGAACACAGTAGCCACTTTACAAAGTGCCAGCTGAGAAGGGGATGCATGCTTTCTATGGACTAGATGTGAATGTTTAGTTAAGACATTAAAGCAGAAAGACACACACACCTCTAGTTAGAATGAAGTCAGCAATTCTTAACAGCGTTTATGTGTCATTAAATCTGTTGTCTTCTGACCTACTTTGTTTTCATCTTCATGGGGTCAAGGAAGAGCAAGTGTCACACAGACAGGTATTTGCCCATCCCCATGACCCTTCCCCTAACTGATGGATATGACCTTTTTTACTTCATTTTCCAAGGCCTCGGGAAAAGCAGTAGGTTTAGGGATAAGAATATTTCCTGCTCCCCTCTGCTGCGAGAGGGTAGTGGTAAAGGGACATAATTTTCCCCTTCTTCCTGGAGAAGGCTGAACAAGATGTTTCTAGGAAGCCTGAAGGGAAACTTTTGCTCCTAGAGTGGCTACGAAGACCAGGCGAGCATAGGCAGGACTTCAGCGAGGAAAAGCTACCAAAATAAGGGCTGGCCCTGTGCCTGACAAACAGGGAGTGATGACAATCTCTACAGATCATGAGTTGCAGAAAGCACATCCCTTTTCAACTCTCACTCTTTAGGAGTGTGAAAACATTTCTGGAGTTGCTAGGAGAACATAGTTCTTCCAGCAGGCATCAATGCCATAATCACAAGAGTGTACCTGCTGGGTTTGAGAGAAACAGCTGTAGAAGAGATGTACATTTTCTACTATGAAAGCGGGATTTTCAGCCAAGAGTTGTGACTATTAATAGAGCACATACATAGGTCAAATGGAAAAGCAGCAGATGATTATGCTAGAGGAAAAAGGCAAGTTTTCATTGTGAAAATCTTTGTGTAAAAAAACCTTTACATAAAAATGCTCAATAATAAACAGGTGAAAGCTCACATTTTAGGAGGCAAACTTCTCTGGGAAGCATAAAAAGCTACTTTTTTTTTTCTTTCTTCTGTAAAACTTACTATAATTTGGCAGTTCCTGACAGACATTATAGCTGCATTAACATATTTATTATACATGCAACATGTCTGTTAAAAGAAGTCATTGTTAAATTCAAAAACTCTATTTGACTTCAATTCATCCCCACAGTATCCCCACAGACCCCACACTACTGACTGTTCTGAGATTAATGGACAACATTCTGCAGTAAGAGACAGAAAAATTCTGTAAGTCTAAAATATCTATATTCTTCCTGGTTTGTATAAAAAGCATCACTTTACAAAATAAATGCATAACAGAGCTAAGTATAAAATATTGAACTAGAAGTGGGGACAGAATGAGGAAAGGTAATGCTGAAATTAAGCTGACAGGGCAGGATTTTAACAGCATCTGTGTTAACTTCTAGTGCTTACATCCCACTGCACTTCAGCTCCTACTCCTGAAGACTTTACCCTTAAGAACTGTCTCACATTTATTTTCAGAGCTACAACCACAGATCCAAAGTTGAAAACTATAAAAATTTATGACTCCTCTCAGTTTACCAACCTACATAAGTATAGATTACATTATGAACTTTAAATAATTGGATCTTTCTATAAGACTCTGAATACTACACCACCATTTGGTACAAAATATTCTTAGTACAGAAATGAAAGCTCTGGTATTGACAAATAGACAGCTATTAGTAACATACTCTGAGAATAACCTGATCTTAAAAAGGAGGTGCAATCAGCTGGATTAGGATATCACATCACATGCTTTTTGTTTGTGGAATTTTGACTAAATTACTATTGTCTTCGCTTCATTCTATTTCTGCCTGTGAACAAATGCTGTCAACATCAGCTTTTGATTCACATCTTAAAAAACATGCTGAAAGTAAAATGCCTGTGCCTTGAAAAAGTTCAAATTTTTTAACCTTGGCTGATGTAATAGAAAGCTAAGGTCACAAGGCAGCAGAAATAGGCCGTTAGCACAACTCCAGTTCAATCTAAACCTCATGTGTCACGGGTTTTCTCTTTTGCCTTTGAAATTAGCTATTAAGAGAAAGAGGTTTTCAACCTTAGGAAGTCAGGATGAATGCTGCTGTTTAGGAAAACAAGTACTGGCAGTTCTGTGGCTGCTTAAAAGAGAAGCCAGCCTGCAAATAAGTTAAGTGTGTTAGAGCATACTGTTCAGCCCACCTTATATTCCCCAAAATGCAACTTCTTTTCTTTTTCACCAGCACAGATGGGCACATACTTGGAAAATGTACAACAAGCACCACTCGGTCTCCTAGGAGGCACATTGTATGATTACTGGCAGGTCCTACTGGTTCTTCACAAAGGCCTGTATGAATATGCTGACAGTTTTCTTGACCTACCTCCTCATAATCTGTAACAGCGTGCTTCCCTAAGAAGAGTCCGGATATACCGCACATGGACTGGGGGAGCACTGAAACATTTCTGCTATTTATATACTATATCTGCTTGTGTGTGTGTTTCTTAAGTAAGGTCTATTTTTTCAAGAACAAGTTCAGGCTAACGTTAGCAGTCAAAGAGTCAGCTATAGTAACATACCTCTTGAACAAATAGCAATATAAACAAATCCAGACTTTAAAAAGGGACAGGTTACTTATCAATTGTGTTATTTCAAGCAATATATATAAAGACATCTCAGTATAAATGTCTATGCATCAAAAGAGGAACAAGAAAACAGCCGAAGCTTCCTCTAAAAAAACCTGAAAGCTAAAATATATAAACTCAAAAGGGTAATAAAAATAACACTTTTACATCCTTTTTAATAAAAGATCATAATTTCTCTTAGTCACTTATAATCTCACACTGGAATTTAAAATACAAAGACCAACACTATTAAAAAGTTTACCAAATCCCTTTAATTTCTTCGCAGGAATGTCTACTCACTGTCCTGCACTTGAGAATTTCATTGTTCAGCCACTTAAATTCCCATGTTGCCTACAATTGTACAGTCAATGCAAAATCAATGCAAAAATTTCTTAATTTCAAAATAACATAAGCCAGGACTGTACATAAAAGCAGACTAATAGCTTTGGGCACTATGGCAAGCAGGTCTATAACATAAGACCAGGCTACTGAGGTCAAGTATTTAATTTTTAAAGAAATTAAAGGAAAATGTGAATGGAAGTAAAGGATTACAGTGCTATGCTGGCAAATCTGGATGTGACTTCTTTGACTACTGCGTGGCATCACACATGATCTTGGATAACGACCAGCTTCAGTGCACACCTAACAACGGGGTGCTTATTCCTAGGAAGATGCAATACACTCTGCCATTTTCTTTAATTAGCTTCTGCAGAAGACTCCAGCACTCAAGCCTTTTCTGCCTTTTTCTGCCTGTTAACTAACTTGGATCAGACAACAAAGAGGTCAAATATGCAGTACCAAATTTACTCAGACTTTGAAAACAGAAAGCCAGGGACCAGAAACCAAGTAAAAAATTAAACTGTTATCACCATACTATAAACAGTAGATCAGCTTTCATTTCCAGCAAGTATCATCACACTACCATGTCAAACTTCATTATGAGAGATTTGTATCACCCTAAGAGAGTTTTGTTCACATCACTTAGTCTGATTAATCAACAGCTGCCAAATGCAAAAGTTAACAACCCTCATTTTCTTCAGCTTCCAGCTTTATGTAAATCACAGTTTTGTCTGTGAAACAATTTCCATCCCTCTCACTTTACAAAGGAACTTAGAAACAAATAAAAAGTGCAGGCCCTGAAAGAAAGCAGAGGAAAGAAACAAAAGCAAGTTACAACTGTGAGTATGGTGGAGAGTCAAGCTTTTTCAGAATACAGGCACACAGTATCAAGGAAATACAATCAGTTATTTGCTCTGCATGCTAATGACACTGCAGGTTCAGCTTTCACATCGCAGCCATCGGTCTATTAGCCTCCAACCTCTTTGCAAGAAATTGTATTACTGTTTCAAGCCGTGCAGGTAGAAGGGGCACACCACCTGATATACAGGACCATCTCACCCCTTGGTGGTATATTTCTTGCATGATGATCCAGTGGGCGGAATAGTGCTTCACTGCTCTGACCAGGTGGACTTGTATATAGCTGCTCATCTTCACAGGGTGGGAAGAAGGCATAATAGAAATGAAATGACCAGATCTTTGTAATATGCATTACTTCATCATTTAAAAAAAAAAAAAAAATTTGAAAAAATCAAGTGCTCACAAGAATTGCATTACAAAAAGAGAAAGCAGCAAACTTTAGATCACATTCCTGGAACAAACAGGATAAGAGGATAGTAAGTTACAGAAAAGCAGCCTTATATTCTTTGCATAAAGACAGTCTTTCCCAGCCACACAAAGTTAACTTGCATATGCTTTAGACTGCTAGCAAAAATCACAAGTTTTCAACTATTCGTATTTGTCTGTGAACATAGATCTCATTGGAGAGCAGGTATCAATTTTCTGATTAACACGTTTTGAAAGAAATACTAGTTCTAGTTACTATCAGTATATATTAGAGAGCTGGCACAGGGTATTTTCTTTTAAGTTGCTCAGCTTTTTTTCTTAACTGATTTAGCTGTAAACCTGGGATCAAAAAGCTAGAAGGGAAATGCTAAAGCCGCTCAGGAGATTTGAATGCTGTGGGGAGAGCTCTTGTGCAAAGTCACTGCAATTTAGTTGCTGGTGATAGCAACATAATAAAACATAAATCAGCTAATCCTAACTCCTGAGGGACCTAAGGCCAGGGCTAGATTGCCACAGCCACGGCAGCGTGATTGGAAAAGGACAAGCATCCCGGCACCATTACACAGTCGAGGTTCGACAGTTCTGCTGTGAGGCTGGTCCCTGGAATACGGCTTGATCCACCTGGCCCAGGAATGGATGAGATATAAAGCCTTTTTATCAGTGTTTGTACGCTAAGAATGCCTTTCACCAAGAAACTCAGCATACTTTACAGCCCAGCACCATTCACACGTTCTAGAAAGACTTCCATCTCTGCAGGGGAACTCCAACATTTCTGCTGCCAACACCATTACTTTCTGTTATTACTAATTATTCTAGAAGAGAAAGGAGAAAGATGGTCCATGGACTGAACAGGACAGGTGCTATATTAAGGTATAATAACACAGGTCACGCTTATCCTATGCTATTTGAATTTCCTCCCAGAAAAGCAGACTCTGCATCCACTATGCACATTCAGATCTCATCCTAAAGTGGAATCAGCACATGGCAAGAAGGCATACCCTGATCACAGGAATAGCTCAAGGATCTCACCACAGAATAAAATAGAATAGATGCAGGCTGTAGTGACCCGAACTGGTGTACATTTGGGACACCACAGTCAGCAGGCATCTCAGAAACCTCATGCACATCTGCCATGGCAACTATGCCACCAATACCATGCAAGAATATTTGATCAATACTGCCTAAAGGGCTTCCTTTAATAATTATCACCACATTTTTTTCCTTCTTCAGCATTTAGTGGAAAGTGAATAGTTTAGTTCAAGACAAGACCGCAGCCTCCAGCAATTTGCACAGCATTCTTTTGATATCATTAAAGTAATTATTACATATAAAAACTTTTACATATACATATAATAACTGTTATTTCACTGGACTTTTTTCTAAGAAAGTTCCAGACTGACCAAAACAGCTGTAGAATAATAAAATCATAACAACCCATCCTTTAAAAATGTCAGCCCAGAGTAAAGGGAAAAGGAAACAGGATAATTTGAGAGATGACAGAATAAATGAGGCTTATAACAAAACTGAAAAACACAACGTTCATTTCCACATCAGTTCAGGAAAGATTAGTATATCTGAAAATAATATGTATCTATTTTTAAAGAAAATAATTCACTCTAAAATCAACACGTCACAAGAAGTTTAGAAAACATTGAGGTACATTTCTGAACGACATAGTTCTAAATGTCACACTTTTCTACCATACTTACTCAGCATTCTCAGAAAACATATGAACTTCTTTAGGCTGAGACAACTGGAGAAGAACAGTCTTACTGAGATATCTTTGTATGAGAACATGTTGGGCATCAAAATCTAATAAATCATGTATTACAATTCTATTTATACTCTATGATCTTTATACCATTACATGTCTTGGAGATCAATTTTTGGCAAAAAAAGACACAATGAAACTATATTGATACTTCAGTAAGAGAACACTTCATCTTTCCAACTCTGAAGTATGCACTAGAGTTTATTGCTACCTAGCTAGTTCAGGATTAGAAACACAAAAACAAGAATGCATAAAAGAAATTGGTTTTAATTAAACAAATATTATTTCACTATCCAAACCTGAAAATTGTGACTTTATAACATTCCTGACCACAAGGTTTAAATAATTTGATTCAGATTCAGGGGAGCACATAAATACTTTACATTAATCTCATTGATTTCATGTGAATGAAAGCATTTTGTCCCCCTGTGTTATCCCACTGCAGATGTAATTCTCTCCACAAATGTCAGTCCCAATATCAGAATGGCAACAGCAGTAGCAGACCTGGTATATGAGGTAACTGCAAGCGACACACAGCATTTGTGGGGGGAGAGGGATCAACAACACTTGTATGATTTCAAGAAGAAATTCTCTTTCTTGGACTTCACTTTCTTACCTTGGTTGCAGGTTTTTCCAGTGTATCCTGGGTGGCACTTACACTTGTTTGGCCCAACGCATTCACCATGTTTGCATCCTGGCTGGCATATAGCTGCAAATAGAGGAATAATCATTATTCTTCTGCTCCAGTCACAGCTGACAGCGCTTTACTTTGAAACAAATGGCAATGACCTAACAAATAGTACCGTTTATGTTCCTCCCTTCAGCATCACTATATGCTTCAAATAGCACTGTTCAAACATCAGATGCACTTTCAAAAGTAACTACCGCCCCAATACACATGGGAAGCACAAGAAACTTGTTAGTAGTCTATTTTTGTACACTATATTGTGCTGTTTCTGGGACATTACACCCTTTTCATACCTCATCAGCGAACAGGCACTGAGCCTTCACTTTGCTCTATATATGTATGTACTATGATTCATGCCATTAAATTTGGTGAACCTGGAATACGGCTCAGCTGTATAGAAAATGCGTATACCAATGTCGTAGGTGACATACAAAGTCATAGTTCAGTCACAGATCCCAGCATTCCCCATTTTCCTTTATGACTATAAGGCAACACTCTCTACCCTTTATTAAGAAATGTTTTGCCTGAATCCCTCACTTTCGGATGTTTGCATTCTGGCATGGGAATTACTTTCATTTTTTTTCTTTTGGAGGAAAAAAGGACTGGGTAAAAGCAAAAGCAACACTAATTGTAATAAGCTGCTTTATTACTGCACACATCCAAATCACTTGTACTCAGAACATTTCAAGCATTTATTACCCAACCTGCTGTACAGATATACTCAGAATGTGAAGTTATCATCTATTCTGCTTCCAGTGTCAAATTTGCCAGGTAATTTCTAATTACCCAAATGGAGCATAATACAGAACTCCAAGAAATAATAGTTAGGAAGCCACTTTTGGTACCTCTCTCAAACACAAAATTCATAAAACAATTTTTTAAAACTACAATAATAAAACAAGCATTGCTTTTGAAAAAATATAAGAATTCACCCACAAATTTATTTCTACTGATGTGGGATTATCTAACAGGAATATTTTCAGAGTGCAACGAATCCTGCATAACTCTGGAAACCATTTTACAGCTGAAAATCTTAAACATTTCCAAGTCTTTTTTATTATAAATGTCTTTTGATTACTAAACATACTGTTTCAATCTACTGGAAAACTAAAGTATTTACTATGCTCTAAAATGTTGTTTATCATTATATGATAAAATACAGATGCAAAATTCTGGTAAGCTTACTATTTAAGATGGACACAAATTAGACAGGAATTAGAGGGTGGCATAACTTGAATACCCTGTAATCAGGATTTATTATTTACCCTGGCTTTAAGTTCACTTTCTAAACTAACAGTATCCCTTGGAATTTGCAAAGTAACTAACTAGATCCAGCTGTAGTATTAATTAATTTGACAACAGGCTACATCATTAAATTGGATGCATTAAGGATGTAATTTAACAGAAATCTGTCAGAAGGCACTCAAAAATGTAGCTTGCATTCTAGCCAAGCTGTTCAACAGGGTTGAATTAAACAAAATTGAAACAGAAACAGGAGATTAGTTTTGGTTGTGGAAGAACTATGCAAATACATCTCTGATGTTCTAAAATCTTTTCCATAAGATTCAAGGCATCCAGAATCAACAATTCCCACAACTGCATCCACAGAAGCAACTGTTAGCATAGGAGTTTGCTCCAGTTTTATGACTGCATTTGCCCCATATTATCAGGGAAGTTTTTTTGTTTAAACATTATTTTATATATATATATGGCCAGTGATATCCCCTGAGAACATAAAAACTTGTTTTAAATCTACAGCACTGCTCTTGATGGAACTTCCTAACACGATGGTGCAATCTCCTTCCTAAAATTGTCTTAAGGAGTATCTTAAAAGGCAACAGAGAGGGATGTTTCTAGTTAATCCAAGATTATTTTTTTCCCCCAATAAACACCATCCAGAAACAAAGAAACAGGATTCAGGTTCAGAAACACCTCTCAATCACAGTGTTAGGGAAAGGGGGGTGCTTAGACTACTAGAAGGTATGTTTCAAAAAGCATGCCCTTGGGTAATGGACAGATTTGACTGAAGAGCAACTGATACATTATGAAAAACTTCTGGAACATTGTAGCTGGAAACAATTACTGCTTTTTTAATCACTATGGGCAAAACCAGAAAAAAAAAATCTTTGTGTAAGAGCTCATTTAGACACTGAGACTGTAATCTTCCTGACATCATAGACCCAAGTCTAATTAGAGGTGATGACGGCAAAATGAAGACTACGAAGACCAACTTCGTGACTTTGAAGTCACTGAGGAAAAAAAAAAAAAGATGTGATCTAAACTACAGTACAGAAACAGAAATTACTATATGTTTTTGAACATTTCCATGAAATTTCAACTGCACTTCAAAGAAAATCCGTATTGTGGAGTAGGATACTGTTAGATAACAATTACTCTTTAAAAAACACAAAGCACCATGGGAACAGCTTGGTGTCAAGTGTTACGGTTCAGTAGGTGAACCTGTGGCAACTATAGTTTAGCCAACTTTAAAAGTCCTGGCCCCTTGCTCATTTGCACAGACTGTAAATTAGCAGCAGCTCAGAGAAAAAAGATCTCATACTTGAAGACAAAAAGCCTTATAAAATTCAGTAATGAAATAACTGAGATTTTCATTTCATATAGAAATGAAAATGTTCCTCAAATTCAGAAGGTCAAATACATTTGTATTAGGAATCAGATGTTTGGCTTAACTCAGTTTACCAAGCAGGTCAGGTATCATACTGGAACAAAAATTATGTATTAGTATTTGTTTAAAACAAATGATATACAACTATCTACAGATATGAAAGATGTAACACGTTATTAAATCAAGCAATGGGATCTGTGGGATCTTCAAGAGATCATCTACTTCAATGCTTCTCAACAAACTTAGTTCCATACTATACCTGCAGTATTTAATGGCTTGTATGACTTACAGGTGGGTAACTCCTGATCTAGGTTACCTCCTATAATTATATCTTGAGGTAACCTCTTAAGAAATGCACTTAAATCACATGACAGATATATCTTTCTTCCCTATTTTTAAAAGTCTCAGTTAAAGGAGATCTCAGTGCCTCAGCAGTCTACAACTCAAGAATCTCTACTACCACAAGGAGAGTTTCCTAATGATTAGCAAATCATTATCCATAAAGTCAAAGACATGATAAAATGCTTTTTTTGCATTAAACATGTATTTGCAAACCTATGTTTGCTGCCAAACACTGTACTTGAAGAAATCCTGTTTATTAGAGTACATTCTGCGCACTTTGGCTACTTAAATATTATGCATCTTATTTATACACAGCTGCTAAAATGCAATACAATGCTACAACTGAAGAAGTTCTATACACAAGAGAAAAGCCCTTTGCAGAAAGCTTAGCAACATGTGTAGCTCAGCCGACACCATGGATACATCCCACAGCATTTCCATCAGGAATCAAGCCACCGTCATCAAGCCATCTGTGTTATCTATCCTCCCATTAAGTTGAATGGGGCTTTGCATGGTGCTCAGAACTTAAGAAGCTGATGGTGTTCAGCCAAGTCTGCACACGTGGGGACATCTACATGTCCTTCCCACTGACTTCTACCAGAGTCCCCTGGCCCAGAGTGGTGGGCTGGCTCAGGCTCTGCAGACCACTCCCTTCTCCTCACGCCACCTCCCCGCCAAAGGAGAAGCTGCTCCTGCACGGCAGCAGATACACGCTCGCTCACTCCCAAAGACTTCTGATTGAACACAGTCAACAATGAGGTACAGGTATAAAAATAAGCTTGAGCCTGACTTTCATCATTTCCTTTAATAGCAGGCAATTATTTCAGCTGTTTGGTATAAGTCTTGGTATACACTATGTATGCTGATGTAACTGGGTTTTTTCTGTGAATTTTGCACTCTTATTTTCTTGCAAAATTCCAGATGGAATGGAATGGAATATTTCATTGCTTTGCCCACACATAGTTGCATGGAGTTTATCCATTTTTTTAACACAATTAGACTCATAAGTAGTAGGGAAAAAAGTCTCCCAACTAATATTCTTTGCATCTTGAAAATTATAAAATTCCCCCACAACTGACCACAACAACTAATATAAATATAATTTCCCTCCAATCAACTCACATTTCCACTCACTGAAATAAGCCATAATTCCCATGGACTTCATTCTGCTACGTAACACTCACTTCCCTACTAGGCAAGAAGGAAATGTAGCCAGTGGAGTGTTACATCAGGCTGAAAAAGTCACTCTCTTACATGCTTAGGGCAATGAAGTCCAGATGATAGGAGTACAAACAGGTTGCCAAAAAGAAGCAAAAACTTTCTACTCTTTATAATAGTAATTGTTTTAAACAAAAGCTAAAAGTAAACTTGTATAGGCAAGTGCCACTAAAATAAGATTGCTGATTTATTGTTGAATCAATACCAACAAAGACCTACCATTTCTCCAAGGATTCCTCTCTGAAAGCATTTAAACTGGCACACCCATTGGGTAGTAGCAATGCTGTCTGCGACAGACAGAAAGAAATCCTAAGCACAGCTATTTTCATCTTTAGTCAACTGCTGCTTTTTTACCTAGGCCATAGGATAAACCACAACTAAACTTTCCATTTCATTTTGTTGCCCAATTCATTCAAGAGATACCAGCAAATAAACTCCGGTCTCATGATTATTCATTTCAGTTTGACCATTTTAAACTCTTTTTTGAGGCCAGATGTGAAGACTTCCTCTGTCTCAGTTCCCACTGCCTTCAATGGAGTCAAGGAGGTATCCTAAAGCCTTTTATTTGGCCATAAATCTAACAGAGTACCTATTTAAAAGGTTGGCAAGAACTACCTTCTCCTCCAAAATAAGATGATAAATACCACCTTTTAAGTCTCGAACTTCAGGACAAATTAAACTTCCTGTAAAAATAACACAAGGAATTGAAACATGAATGAGTGGTTTGGGTTTTTTTCCAGTGTGGAAGAGAGGGAGAAAGACTTTCTGGTGAAATGCACATGCTGTTAGCACATGCTATTCTTGTGTAAAAGCCAGAAGCCACCGATCTTCCCAGCCAGTACTAGCTGCTGGTGGTGTCTGAGCATGACTCAATCATTCTAAAGTATTATTTAATTGTTGCATAAATACAATAAATTAAAACCACATTCAATCAATTCATTACGGGTCTATAATGCTGGGGTTTTTAAAGTTCATCTGTATTTTCTCCCTGCACACAGTTCCCTCAGAACTGCTTTGGAAGTCCCCCTCAGGTTTTGTCAGTTCCTCTGCACTAGGCTGCCCAACTTTTGAGGGCATAGGTGACTACCACATGCTGTCCCCTCTGTTCCTTCTCATCTAGAATTTTAATGTTAATGATTTATTTCCTGATTATAAAACACTGTTTGGTGGAGTCCTAACCAGACAGTTGCATTGCCTGGTTCCTACCTAACTCCTCCTCTCCATTTGTGGCCAACAATGGAAATCCCTGAGCTTTCTTAGTGAAGTGTCTCTACCAATTTAACTCTTCTTTGGTTTTTCAACACTCCTAGCAACATCTTTCATCAAAACAGCCTTGAGTATAATTCTGTATATAATTGTTACATTCTTTTTCTCTGCTTTGCCTCTTAATTTCTGTTTCTTAATAGTTATTTCTTATTCCTTACATCATTTTTCTTGAGTGATACCAACAAGAGTTTCACTGACAGAAGTTGCCCTCAAAGTCTTTAATTGCTCTTTCTGCATCCCTCCCCTCAAATCTGCCTCAAATGCCAGACTGCAGATGTCCAATCTGTCCTTGAACTTCTATCTTCACCTCTCTGAAGTCTAAAAATATGCATAGAAATACCTGCATCTGAAACAAACTATGCCAACCATCTGCCCAAATGGCCTTGCTTCTGCCTTCTCTTCCCAAGTAACACACAGCCCCTTATTTACTCTGACTTTAAATCACAGCTCCTCAAACTTCTGTTTGTCCAAATGCAGAAATTAATTTGCGCATCAACCCAGAGATTATTAGATACTATTCAACTTCACAAACCTTTACTGTGTTGAGCAGTGCTTACACAGAGTCGCCTTTTCTGCTTCTCCAACCGCCCCTCCAGCGGTATGGCTGGGGGGGTGCACAATAAGTTGGGAGGGGACACAGACAGGACAGCTGACCCAAACTGACCAAAGGGATATTCCATACCATATGACGTCATGCTCAGTTTATAAGGGGTTGGGGAAGAGGAAGGACAGGGGGGCAGCGGTGCTCAGAGTAATGGTGTTTGTCTTCCCAAGTAACAGTTACACATGACACAGCCCTGCTTTCCTGGAGATGGCTGAACACCTGCCTGCCCATGGGAAGCGGTGAATGAATTCCTTGTCTTGCTTTGCTTGTGCGCGCGGCTTTTGCTTTACCTATTAAACTGTCTTTATCTCAACCCACGAGTTTTCTCACTTTCACTCTTTCAATTCTCTCCCCCATCCCGATGGGGGGGGAGTGCGTGAGCGGCCGCGTGGTGCTCAGCTGCTGGCTGGGGTAAAACCACGACAATTGCCCCAGTGCCAACTTTATACTAAGACTTGCATGCTGGCGAAACGAGCTTTCTCCTTCACCTGAAACTGACTCCCTTTTTCCTGTGGTACTAACAGACCACAACCTCAAGTTCTATCCTTCCCTTCCTCAGAGCCAGCTTCAGCTCATGGCTATTTCTATTTACTTTTGGTAACTCTTCACAAATTATGCAATTGCATAAACACACACTCACAAAAATAAATCTTCCTTATTCACAGTCATTTTGATCTTGAATCCAAAGGTATGAGCTAATTTGTAAAATAAATCACTGCAGCTCTGTCAGAGTTACATATTTCTTTTTTGTTCAACTACATACAAATGCAGGAGAATGCATAAAGCTTAACCTACCACACAGTTACCAGTAGGTGGTAAAAACTCGTCATACCCATAACTCACATTACAGAATTACTTCTGAAAAATATAACTTTGCTTCCAAAGTAAGTGTATTAGCAGTCATGACATATATCTCTGCAGAGCTTAGTAAGCCTGACTAGGGCAATTGGGTATTAATTTTCAGATAATTTCATACGAAAAACATTCCTTAGTCTACTTTTTAAAAGATAACAAATGTCCTTGACCAACTTCTTTAACTAGAGATTGATAATATCATCAGATAAAATGGTAGTATCTTATGCCTGAATATTTTTTCACAAATTACTTACACTTGTAACGTTCATGATAACAAATGTTGTCAAAATGCATGCTTAAGCTTCCATCTGAAACGTACAGTTCCATTAAGTAAGTAGCTCCCAATTTTTCATGCACAACTACTACATTTGCCTGGGTAAATCAGTTACTCAATTTGCACATACGATTCTGGTAACAGCACATTAACATGACAAACTGCAATCAGTGTGGGCTATTCATTGCAGTGAATTCTTTGCTTGCCTCTGACTGCTGCCAAATGTGTTTCCAAACTGCATACACAAATCCAGACCCTGGTTCATGAATGCCTTGCTATTCAGAACAGCACTTAAAGGCACGTGTAACTTAAGTATGGGTAACACTGAAATCAATAGGATTTAATGAAGTCAGTGAAAGTTACTGGATAAGTCATGCTTATGCACTTAAATACTCTTTAAAAATAAGTGAAAAGTTGATCTACACAATGCAAAATTAGAAAAGCAAGAATTATTTCATGCTTTGTCAAGCTTTTCATGTTTGCATTTCAAGTGACTTGTGGCAATTGCTTAAAGAACGGTGCTTTATCATCTCAAACTCCTGTTTGTTACCTGAATCTTTCTGCTTGCCTACTGAATTCTAGCAGGAAGAAGCAGGCTGGCATGAGTGTCTCTGCATGGTAGCAGAAAACAAGCCGGGCCCTATTACTATTTTGTTTATTAGAATGTAACACCCAATGCCTTCAGCAGAGTAACTTCTGTATCACAGTAACAAAGCTGACTTTGAGGGACAGATGAACAAACAGCTTTGCTCCCCTTTGTAACGACTGGTACTCCCGCCACAAGGGTAAGGAAACAAGACATATCAACTCCTAAACAGCAGCAGACCACAGCCCTGGGTACCAACGTGAACTAGTGCGGATTTCATTTTGCTCTTAACGTGCCAGGTTGGTCGCTGCTGTAGGCCAGGGGCTGTCAAGTTTCCCTTTTGTGGGAATGACAACTTGTAGTGGAGGTGCAAAGCAGGCAACGGTGGGGGCAGTGCGTGCTTCGGTCGTCCCAAACTAACCTCCCAGTGCACATGATTCGATAGTGTGAGAGCAGAATCAGGCCTCCTAAGTCTGACAGCTTGTAAATCCATTGCTGGGAGTATAAACAATTGGCAGGAAGCAAAAAATATTGTCTGGAGCTTGAGGGTAAAATAAAGAAAAATGAAAAGAGTGAAAAGGGAAAAGTTTAGGAAATAAGTATCTCATCAGATAGGTGACTGGGATAAAACAGCCCTGTTCATTTTCCTTCCCCCCTTATCTTCCCCAAATCAAATGTTTAAAAAAGAGAGAAAAAAATAACATCTATATCTTCTTGTCACGTATTATAGTTTTCATGTAAACTTATGACTTAGAGGCCATAACTCCAAGTCATAACCTTGCCAAAATTATTTCAAGAAATATGTTCAGCTAACCTTTGGGCTGGCACCTTAGGCTGGCTATTCTCTGCCTTAAGACGTAGAAAGCTGCAAAACAAATATCCAAAAAAAGAAATTCCAGCTTTTTTTTCCTGTAAGGAGGATGGACTTGGCTGGGGTTTTTATCAACTTGTTACATTCCTGGAGACTTAACACACATTCAACATTCAGAGCTTTTCTGAAACAAAAAAAATTCTGGTACACATTTAAAAATGGAAATACCTTACATCAGTATTTCATTATGAGATTTAACAAACACATTCTGATACATAAGAGTAATTAAATATATTAAATTAATTAAATAAATATAATTA